TTCAATCAGTTCAAAATCAATCTCCAACAGCACATAGGTTTTATTCTAACGCTCAACAATCAAATATATTGTATCCACAACAGTACCAAAGTCTTATGCCTATGGGACACCAAAAACCATTTTTGAGTAATGAACCACATTCACTTAATTATCAATCGATGAATGAAAACAAAACGAGTTGTTCGCCTGTAAATTCTAGATCGAATCAATCTTCTTTAGAACGAAACCAAACTCCGAGGCAAGTAAATGGAGTACTACCCAACTGCTACCCACAGCATTCCCCTGTCGAAGGTAGAAGTGGTCATTTTCGATACAACGGTGATAGTCAAACACAACTTAGACTTCATGGAAATCAAATGTCAAATTTAGAAACGAATACATCACATCAGTATCTAACTAATTCTGGATCTCCTAGAACACTTTACTCTCAAAACAATGTCCGTGGTAATGTTTCGAATATGCATGAACAAAATGGTCAATATCAAAATAACGAAAACAGGACTTACAACCACGGGCAAAGTGCTCAGTATCAATGTCAACCGCACGAAAGATTAAATAATAGCAACAATTCCGGTCATTTGACTGATAACCGAGCTTATTATCCGCGTCAACCTAGTCCAGTACAAGCACAACAGCATAACAACAACAACAACTGTCAACATCAAACGAACCCTGCTGCAGTTAATGACAATAGATCCAATTATAATATTCAAATACAACAACAACAGTTTGATAGATTGAACTCGTCGCATTTGAACGGTAATGATAAAACGAATTTTGTACACCAAGGATCACCCGTAACTCAATCGGATCGGCTAAATAATAGCATTTCTCAATATAATAATAGTAATAATAACAATACTTGTGAAAATAACACCAAAGCTGGTTATCTCCAACAAGGGGTGTCTGCTAATCAAGCACAACAACTTGAAAGAATGGCTCAACACTATGAGAACAACAAATGTTCCGGCGGTTATAATATTCACCATCAGAGCCACTCGATGAGTCAACAGTCGCAGCAATTTTCAGGTAATAATACAACGCCGCCGAACAACACGACGTCAGACAACAAACCGAACGGTTTACCGTCGCAAAACGACTCGAGGATCGGTTATCCGACGCAGTGTTCGCCTGTACCGCCGGTCGCGGACAGCAGACCTCCGGAATATCCGCGGAACAATGTCGTGCAGGACGTGCAGAAAATGTCTCCGTCCCAACAACATTCGCCGGGCGTTTTGCAGAGGCAAAGGAGTATGGTGTGCAACGGTTTCCATTCGATGCCGTACACCCGGCCCGCCGGTGCGGACAACGTGGCCCATTTGCCGCCGGCACACCCGAAAAAGGACTCGCCGCAGACCGTCGCGAACTTTGCCACAAGATCAGCCGGCGAGGCCGGTTCGTCGTCGTCCCTGGACCGCAAGCAGCTGCACCAACAACAGTACGGCGTCGGCACCGTACAAATGCAGGACGGCAACAACCCGTCGCTGCCCACCAAGAGCCGGCAGGCGGCAGCGGTGACGGCGGCGGCGGCGGCGAGCTCGACGGTACAACGGACGAACACCGTCCGCAGACCCATGACGGTGTACGAGCCGCCGCAACAGTTGCCGCCGTACCAGCACCCGCCGGCCCCCGTAGCGTTCAAGCAGCAACAGCATCCCGGCCGACCGAATAACCAGCCCAGGTGCACAACACCCAACGGCACGGCGGCGGCCGTGGCGGACCCCAGCCGATACACCGTCTACCAGCAGCCGCCGTCCCCGCGGTTGCAGGACAAGTGCGGCTCCGCCGTCGGGTCTCCGGTGGCGGCCAGGCCTTCGCCGTGCAACCTATGCCGGAAAAAGGCCGTCAACCATCCGTCCATATACTGTTCGGACTGCGATTTCTACATGTCGAGATTCAAGCCCAAGCCACAGTCGACTACGTGCTGACCCACAACGGCCGCGCGTGGAGACCGTCGTCGAAATATTATGCGTCCGCCACAGCCCAGCCCGACGTGATCTCTTCAGTTTTGTGTCTGTGATATACAACGGTATTATTATTATTGTTATTATTATTATTATTATTACTAAATATTTTATTAGTATTACTACGCATATTATACTCGATTAAGTAACAATGTTGTTGTATGCTTAACAATTTCGGCGTTTTATGGCCAACGCAATTCTCTGTGAATTGATTTCGTATTATTAATTTTGTTATTGTATCGGGTATTTAGCCGTGTTACTTGAGAATCGTCGTTTTTAATAAACTTTATTGTAATTCTTTTTTTTTTTTTTTTTTTTATGTGTAAAATGATCTCAATACAAAATGTAAAATGAATAAATATTAAATTGTAATACAATTAAGGAGTATAATTATAAGTACAATAATATTATATTTAATTTTAAAACATTGTTTATTGAGTAGTATAGTATCGATACCCAGTAAGTTTTGCCATGTTCGATTTATAGAATGCTAAACACATTACATATGTGTATTGTATATTGTAAGCCCACCTTTTTCATTGCATTATATGTATTATTTAGATAAGTTTTTAATGTTTTAACGAATTTCAAAGAATAAAAAAAATATATATATATTTTAATAAATAATACACATTTGTTATATATTATTATTATTGTAATTTATAGGTGTTATGTGAAATGTATACAGTTTCAATTTGAATTCTTCTCGGTATATTAAAAAAATGTATGAATTATATTCCAAGTTCGTCCGACAGTTCTACACTTCTATCTGTCCGACTTGAATGATTTTTTTTTTTTTTTTTGAAATGAAAGGTATTCATGCATAGATAATGCAACAAACATTGGAATACATTTCACCCCTCTTAGGTTGATTCACTTTGTTTCTGAGCTATTGACCAGTTACATTGCACAATAAAGTTGAATTTCAATTTTTCTAACAATAATAAACTAATCAAGTTCCCCTTTTTTGACGAATTGTTCATTTAGAACTGTACAATCTGTTATTTGTTTAAAAAAAAAATCAAAGTGAAAAATTGATGTTTGAATGTTAATTTTTCGCACGGGTCAACTAGTCAGTGTGATTTTTATATTTTTGATGGTAGAAAAAGGAATACCCCGTCAACGGATTGACAGAAATCAACAATTTCAACATTTTTTTAAACTTTTAATGATACTTTTAATATAGATCACCATTTGATAATCAAAAGCTGATACACATCCAAAAATAAGAGTGACAAAAAAATAATGGTAATGTAACATGTTAAAGCTATTTGTTTCTTAATTTATCAAAACAATTTGGTTAATTTTTAGATTCAGCGAGAGATCTGTAGTTTTGACTATGATGTGTATTTATTGTCTGTCTAAACAACTTTTCTACCAAAAATCTTGCTCCGAAGTATCAAGTGTAACATCTTTTCTGTAAGGTAATTTTCTCTAGTTGGTGCACTGAGGAGTTTGTTTTTTTTAGTTAAAAGTATTTTTCATAATAATTTGAAAAAACCAAAGAATACGTTTTTTTTAAAAAAATTACAATGCAACAATTTCATTATATAAAATGTATATGACTTATGTTTTCTACCCTAAACATTGCTCCAATTAATAGAAAAACGACATGAGAATTTTTCCGTTGCATTTTTAATCTAGTTCGTGAATAAGAAAAAAAAAAACGAAAAACTGAAAATTTTACGGCATAATGATTTCATTGTTTTAAATTTGTACGCTTTCCGTTTTTTACCAGAAATATTGCTCCGATATAAATATATGTATACCTGTTTTGTTCAATTTTTAATTTAGTTGGTGCAAAAGTAAGTCGTATTATGATTTCCCGTGTATTTTTCTTAACAAATGAACAAACCCGAAAGAAAAACGTATAAAGAACGGGAAAGTTAACGGAAATAACGGTTTCGCTATTTTAAATTTAATTTTTTTGATGTAATCCAGTTGCGAAATCCATTTGTTTCGTGACATAACGATTTAAACAATAAAACTTATTCAGTGTATATTTTGCGTACTTCGACATTTACCCCGTTATTTTTTTTTTTTTTTTTAAATTTTAAGGGCTTATTTTACAATTTATATCCCCATAAACATTTATATTTCGTCTTTTCCCAAACGGCACAAATATACCCAGTGGCAGTGGCGGCGCAATTACGGGGGCGCACTTGCACCCGCTGGCAATGTGTAGCAGTTGCTGCGTAGACATACTTTTGCGCCTGCTAAAAGGAATTGAACGCAAAATTCAAATTCTATGACAATATAATTCTATTTAATCGTTTTTATCGAATCGTTTGATGAAAGACAACGGAACTGGACAAATGATAGAAACGTAAAATACCTATGTCGCGCGTATGTAATAATCATGTTAATATAATAACGTTATCACAAATATAGTCGTAGCTGATATTGTAGACATTATCAAATGATTTAAAATCGATAATCAATACATTTTCGCGTTGCCGATGCGGTCGTTCCTATGTTTATAACGATCGGTCGTCCCTATAATCAGTATTTCGTTTAACTCGAGACACTTGCGCGCACGACCTCAACCCTCTAATCACATTGAATATTTGTCGAAACTTTTTAACTTTGACTGCGTATTTTAACGAGTGCCATTTATAATAATACTGCCACATTATGGATGGTCAAATTAATAAAAACAAAAGAAAATTACAACACACAATGTCCTCTATAACTGATTTCTTTATAAGAAAAACAACAGATGTTGAAAAAGTTATTGACGAGTTCAATAGCAGTGTGTCAGTTTCTGGACGTCGCTTGGCTTTAAATGTAAAATTATTCACGATTTTGAATTTTGATTAAAAATCTATGATTATAAATTCAAAAACATAATTCATAATCATAAGTGTAATCAGTTGAAAAGTAAGCCCCTTGGCCCATAGTTTCTCACCACTGCCACCAGATGTCGGCCAATGAACGATAGGTGCACAAATGTAGATAAATTTATTATCTTTATCGTAATCATAGATAACATAATAGATAACAAAGAATTTTGAATTATCTATAACTTCAATGTTTGTAAACAACAGAAACTCCTTAGTTTTTATTTAGTATTTGTTATTATTTAATTGATATTATTACTTATTCCTTAGCTATGTTTAGTTGTGAAGTATGCCAATCTAAATATGTATCCATATCAGGTTTAAACAAGCATTTTAGAAATAAACATAAAGATGTAACAATGGAAAGAAAAGCAACCAACAAAATATTATATTTTTGTAATAGCTGTGATCAATCATTTAATCTGAAGAACAAATTAAAATGTCACATAAAAATTCACATGAAATACAATAAACATCGTCGTATAATATGCTCATTTGAAAACTGTCATGAAAAATTTTTTACGATGAATGAGTTGACTTCACACTTAAGATCCATTCATAATGTGGATATTGAATTGAATTCCTTTAATTTTAACTCCATGGAAGGTTTGTTATTTTTCATTGTAACATTTTAAAACACATCAAACAGTTATTAATCATTATGTAGAATTATTTTTGCTTGTTATGAATTAGCCAAGCTTGGGTTCTGAAATAAGATAAACTAATAGGTATCTTATATGAGTAAAACGTTTATTTTAATTATAAGGAAGTTGAGTGTAAAAATAAACCACTAGGTGCTCATTGAAGTGAGATTAACTTAAGTCTATACTTGTCATAAAACAAATTTTCTTGAGAAAGGTCTTATAGGTAACTTTACCACTGTTATTAGGTTTCACATTACTCTGTATTCCTAATAAGAAATTAAAATTATTTTTCAAATGTACAATAGATTTTTACTTGTGGAAAAAAAATGTGGAAGAAAAAGAAGTATGCCAGTATATAAGGTCTACATCAAAAAAAAAAAGTGGTGGAAAAGAATACATTTATTACTATTGTCATAGGTCATTTGATCCTAGAGTTTCAAATAATGTAAGGTTTATAAAAGTTTAAATCAATATAATATATCTAATAAAATAAAATTGTTTCTATTTAAAATAGAGATGTAAAACTGAAAAGCGGTATGGATCTGTGAAAACTGGTCATGTTTGTCCGTCTAACATAAAAGTGCACATAAACAATTCAAAAATAGAAGTCATATATTGTAGCACTCATCTTTGGCATACTAAAGACTTGAAAAGGTTAAGATTGTCTGTTGAAGATAGACATAAAGTTGCAGGTAACTTACATTAATTTATTTTAATTATATGTAATCTTAGTTAGATATCATACAAATTATTCTAAATTGTGTAATAAAATAAACAAATTCTAGTAGATAACATTTAAAAAATTGCTTATTTACAGAAAAATTAATAATGGGTGAACCGGTAAACAAAATATTGGAGGACGTTCAACTAACATCACTAACCAATGAAGGTGTAAAAAGGATTAATTTATTGAACAAAAGAGACATACATAACATAAGAAGAGATTTTAATATTGTATCACATTCAAAAAAAAATAAAAAATTATCAAATGATAATGATTATTTCAACATTTGCAAGAATATTCATACGTATTATGCTGAAAAAGAATTAGATTCCTGTATACCAAATCAAACTCTGCTTCAAGAATCAGAATGTGAATACATAGATATTGGAATAGAAGAAATTGAAAATGTAATAAAAAATGAAAAACTGAAAAACAAGATTATGACAGTTTTCGATATGATTGAATGTGCAAATATATCTGAAGAAGATGAAGCATTTATAAATAAACATTGTGACAAGATTATATCAAAATTGAATGACAAAAAAAATTTCTCAAAACTATAATTTAGGGAAATAGAGGAAAATATAAACACATTCATTGTTTTATTAAAACAAAAAAGTACTGATCCTATCTTTCTTCTTTTGTGAGTATATCATAATATACATTGTCTCATGAAGATTTGACAAATTTAATAACTTTTGTTGTTCTTTTCCTTTGGTCCTTCATTCCATTTATTTGGGTCGGTTAGTGGTTACCTTTTTACATTTATAATAAATTTGTAACAACAAAATTTTGTTTCAAAATAGACTTATAAAATTAATGTTTTGGATTCTGTAAAAAAATATAAACTATAGTAATTATTATTAAAAATAAAAAAATGTAATGAATAGAATAAAAGTAATTGTATTTGTCATATATTCATGGGACATCCTATATGTAGGTATGTTAAAATATTTTAACGCATTTAGAAATATAACTCAAGATTTCTTAACTACTAGTTGAACAATTCAACAATTTGTCTAATTAAAATGTTGAATAAACTATTATTATTATTTATTTATTTTGATTTTTTTTTTTGTGATTAAAATAATATGATGTATAATATAGTTCAGGTATAATAAATAATTTTTCAAGATTGAAATGCCTTATATTACTTATTGTAAAAATGTTTTATTACTTTGTTTAATATTAATGCCTCGACATCTAAAAATAGCAAACAACTATTGCGCCTGGGGCAAAATCTCCAAAATGTGTCAAGCAAAACGTGTTCAGATGTTAACAGACTTCAAAACAAGAAGCTGTTTTTGATTTGTCCTGTATTATTAGGTATCATTTATTTGTAGTTAATAAAACATCATTAATTATAGATTCAATAAAATATTATATATAAGACAACATAATATAATATTGTAATACAATCACTTAATACGGTGTCACAATTACATACTTAATAGGAAATATGTCAAAAATGTTTTTTGTACTTCTAATTGTATTCAAGATCTAATAGACCTAAATAAAATGAATTTACTGAATTATATGATATTATGATAAAAACATTTACTGTTTTTAAAGAGGAATTGTTTGATTATATTATTTATTACCTATAGGTACTATTTTTTATTAAGATAAAAAAATAATTTGGTTTTTCAAAATTGCAGTAAGTACGGATATCTAGGAAATAACTAATAACTAATAGGTAGTTATCAAAAAAGTCACCAATTTAAAAACATATAGTATTGAATTGTCTTAAAGGTAAATATATGAATGTCAATATTAATATTTTAACAAATAATTATAAGCATTATAATTTATATTATAAATATTATAATACCATTAATTATAAATACCATAGATTTCTCACTGGATGGTTTTTCAACGGTGTAGAAATAAAACTCCCTTAGATGGCGATTAGATTATAATTATTATAAATAAATAAATTGATGTTTATTTTGTTCGTAAAAATCTATTTGAAGTGTCGTAATTTTTTTTTGTGATTTTCGTTAAAATTTGATTTCTAAACGTTTATTAAAAAAAAAATTCCAATGATTTTGGAAATTTCACCACGTTTAGGTAAGTCCAATATAAATATTATTACGAAGTTTCAAGTTTCTACATGTATTTATAACCGAATTGCATCAAAAACCTCCTAAAAATTTAAATCCTTTAAAAGCTCAAAGTTTTAACGATGATACCGTTAGAAAGTAAATCAAAAAGGCAACAAAATAGTTGTCTTGCGATTAAACCATTTTTTCTGATAAAAAACGTCCATGTTTTCATAAAATAATGAAATCGTGAAATTGTATGTTTTCCTACGTTTTTTCCCACTTAAGTGTTTTTATTTAACTATCATTACCGCTGTCATTAATTCATAATTTTTAGTGCTTTCATTAGTTTACTTTCTACATTATTGAAAGTGACCTAAGTTGTGTCTTGGGGGCTATGATTGCTAGTAAATTCTATAAACTTCATTATGGGACATTGTACAAATAGTGGCGAGAAATGTCTTATCAGTGCCCTCGGGATTGAGATTAATTTGCCTATATTTTGCCCCTCAGATTGATGAGAAATACTGCTTTTATTACAAATTTTATTGGAGATGGTTAATTATGATTTTTCTTCAAAGATTTATAAGTTATAATACTTTATTCTAACTACAATAGTTAATAGTGATAAAATAATTCTATGCGCTATGTGTAAATACAATTACACCTCCGGTTCATTAAATATTACCAAATTTTACAAATGAGAATACAGGAAGCTCAATGAACATCCATTGGCGACGTGGTGCTTGAGAATTTGAGTAGTTGCCAATTAGCCCCTTTTTCCTTATTACTTGAATATACTGTATAATACAAATTATTTAACGCAATAAACTCACAAAAATATGAATTATATTTGTATGTATTATAATTGTTCTATGCAAAATAGCGAAACAATTAAGCACATTTGTTAATAATATCGGAATCCAATTTCAGACATTAATATTTACTTTTTTTAAATAAAATGTATAATTATTATGTATACAAAACACCTATATTTGCCTTTTCTAGACGTGAACGATTTTGCTGGGTTTTTACGTAAATTTTTATTTGGTAAGTACTATATGGGTCAAATTGTCAGTCTAAACAGAAATTGCTTGAAAATTTAACAAGTGGTTCATAATAAGATAAATTTTGTGGTTTTAAAAAAAAATTTAGTTTAATGTAATGATTATTTTTTTTATAAGAATTTTAATATCTAATTTTGATAAAAATCGTAAATATTTGAAAACATGCGTAATAATACCAAATACCAAAAGATTGAAAAAAAACTGTTATCTGTCAAGAAGGGCGATCTTATGGATACAAGCAACTATTGGGGAACAGTCGCGCTCTTAGACTGCTGCTACAATATCTTTTCCCTGGCATTATTATAGAGATTGGAAGTGTACTCTAAAGATTTGATAGGATACTATTAGAGGTTTTTGGAAGAAAAGTCCACCTTTGATCATAGTTTTACAATCAGACAAATAATCGAAAAATGTTATCAATTCGGAAAGGACGTCCACAATCGATAGGTTACATATTTTACATAACAAATAAAATAATTCATTTTTTTTTATTAATGGCAGATATATTTTTATTAATTATACGTTTTTTTTTCTCAAAGCAAATAAAACCAATCGCTTATTAGAAACAATCGGTTAACCGACACATTTCAACTTGATCCAAAAAATGATCCTAATAAGCGGCCCCTGCTATATTAGATTATCACTGGACCAATTTCGTGTAGCTAGTAATAATTTTACAATCATAATATAATATGATTGTTCACCATACCTACCGCGGACAATGTTCTATAATAGTTATAGGAAAAATAACGCCGTATTGCGGTAATCTTGTATCACCTCAATCCGCGATAATAAACCGGATAAGCTAAAAAACAACAGCAATAACTATCCGAAGTACCCGCCTCCCTATGATAGTGCAGAAGGCGGTAGAAAACACATTGTTCGTGAACAGCACTTCCTGCACACTGGTCGTTTGTGCCCGTCGTATAAATTGCCTAATTCATACTCCTTAGAATCGACCGTGCGGTCGTAGATAATAATAAAAGGACGTCCTTGAGTCTCCGAAACCACTGAAATATGGTAAAAAACCGTACAACCGCAATAATCGTATTTGTTCGCTTAGACCGTTAGACCATAATCTAGGATTGTTCGTCGACACTCGATTGTTCTAAGGCCGAAAATTGTTTTATTGTTTTATTTGTTTCGCTGTTGGATGTTGGTCACACCAATTTATATTAATATGGCTCCACCGAATAGCGTCCTTGATAAGGTGATAGTAGCATGCATAGATAGTGATAAAAAATTTGTTTTTAAAAACGAGTTTTGCATAATATAATAAAATATATAAATTGTATTTTGTTTTGTCATGTATAATTTTAAACATATATGTGGTGTTTTTGAAGTTTACGTTGTAATTTGATGCCGGTTGTTAACCATGGCCTCAAAAAAACCTATAATTAGATGCAAATACGAGGAGGGCGAAAAAGTACTTTGTTATGAACCAGATCCCGCAAAAACCAGAGTTCTTTATAATTCAAAAGTAACTCATTTTTAATTTATTAATTTGTAAATATTTATTAAACAATTTAATATATATGTTATGTATTTAGGTTTTAAAAATAGTACACGAAAAAGATGATATTGGCCACAAATACTACAAGTTTCTTATTCATTTCCAAGTGAGTATTCATTATTTATTACTTGCTTATGTTGAGTTTCATAAACGTAATTTGCAGGGGTGGAATTCTACATGGGATCGATATGTTACTGATGAATTTATTCTGAAAGATACTGAAGAAAATCGGAAACTTCAAAAAAAACTGGCTGAAGAAGCTCAACTCACGCCGTTAGTATTATGAGTTAAGTAGGGATTAGAAGTATTAGGCGGTAAATAAGCAAAATATGATATGATAATATGATTAAAAAAAAAATTAAAAAATATACAATTAACTACATAAAATATACATACACAAATCAAGATTTATGTAAAATTATTTATTTAAAATGAATTATTTATTGTATTTTTGCTTATAGTTATTTTGAGTAAAAAATACATTAATTTAATCAAATGTAATTTAAATTTTCATTTAGTTCTTAAATCTTGATATTATGCTGAAATCAAAAACAAATATATCTAATATAAATGTATATTTCAAACAGTTTTGGTGATGATAAATTATTGTTGCATTGTACAACTATTTTTTTTTTTAAACATTTTTCACATTAAATGCTAGTCAATTGTTATCCAGTATGTTTGTACTGAGAAATGTTTTTTTTTGGTGTTTGTAAATGTTGGCATGTGCCACATATTAATAAAATGTTAAATCGTTTTCAGATTCTCTGGTAAAATGTTTTAACATTTTTAATATTACACCAAATCAATAATTTCTTTAATAATAATCAAATATGCAGTTTTGTTCAAAATCATTAGTTTATACAAAAAATAAATATTCAAAGTTTAGTTTATACTCTACATTTGTATATTAATTTGCTATAAAATAAAAGACTAGGAAAAAATACATGCAAGTCCTATAACTTCTGATCCCTAATTATAAGAATATCTTATAAGTTAGATATTAACAATGTTTTATCATTATTTCAGTGGTGGGAATTTATACAGAAAAGAACGAAAAAAACGGACAAAAAATGAAACTAAATCATCATCTTCTACAGAGCCACCTAAAAAGTCTGTTAAGAAAGAGACATCTAAAAAGTCTACAGTGGAATCCAATGGTACATCATTAGACTATAGTGATACTATACTACTACCTAAACGGAGGTTACCAGACCTCAAATTTCCAAAAAATTTAAAATATCATACAGGATATAACTGTTATTTAACGCACAATAAGAACATGGTAAGAAAAAACAAATTCAGTTATTTTTCTAGTAGTTCTTTATTTATACAATTCCAGTTGGTCCGGTTACCTTGCTCACCCAATGTGGTTACATTGCTTGAAAATTTCCTCAAGTATTTAGCTAGAAATTTCTATTTTATTGACAAGAAATCAACCAAAGGATTAACCCGTCATGAAAATGAAAAGTTTGATAGAAAACAGATAGAAAAACGGTTAGTTATTTTTTTTTTTCAGTTGTGGAATATATATTTTTGTAATATTATCATTATTTGATTTTAAATACCAAACTTTTGGTATTCTAATTTCTATAATATTATGCAATAATTATTTACTATTGATTTTGTTTGTTCTTTTTCCATAGTTATAAACTTTGTGTAGAATTTTTGGATGGTTTAAGAATATGTTTTAATACTTACTTGAATAGACGATTATTAATAAATGAAGAGGAACGAGCCCAATTCCAGGAAGCAATTAAAATAGAAGTCCAACCACCTGTAACAATTATCCAAGAGTAAAATTAAATTATAAATATAATAGTTAATTTTATATTGATAGCTCAAACCCTGAATTTTGCTATAATTAAAATTGAATCAAATTATTTTATTAAACTAAAACTGGAATTTTGTCCATTTTCATTATTAAAAAAAAAAAATGTTATCTATTTATAATCATGTAATATTACTAGATAATTTACTAGATTACTAGATTCTTGGGCTATTATATATATATATTTTTTTTTATCCAACATACAATTTGCTATTTAAAATATAAAACTAGCACACTACTGAATACTTAAGAAATTTTAATTTAACCCAAAATATAATAATTTGATTAAATTTTTTTCACATAAAGTTTAATTTTCGAATTGAACATCGAGCATTTACATTTATAGTTAAACTTATACTGCATAAGGTAGTGGCACAACCATGATTTTTTGAAGAGGGGGATACCAAATTTCTACATCTAAAAAAAAAAGTATTTTAGTACATTTTAATTAATTTATATTACTTAACATGTATGTTCTCAGACACTTAAAATATTCTCTCTTGGTTGTGCCACTGGTATAAAACAATACGGCAATACTTACAGTTTTTTTCCAAATTTAAATATTGAGATTCATCATATGTACATTTTTTGATATTTTGTTTTACTTTCTTTTATAGGAGTTATAAACCAAAATTTACTGATGTACAAAATGGTAGTCAACCAGATACTGATGAAGATAATGAAAACAATGTTCGGTCAAAAGGTAAATAATGGAATAGATTTAATGAATCTTTTTTATTTTTAAGCTTGGATTATTATTATTTGATTAGGTAAACAAGAAAATGGACGCAGTTCGATCAGTCATTCCTCAAAAATTTGTTCAGAGTGCGGGTATTTAATACAAATACCCATTTCACTTTATATATTTTATCATATTTTTGTTTACAGTTTAGCAGACTCTCATTGTTCACAAGTATTTCATGATTTATTTAAAAAAGCACGTGACGTGAATATTTTAAAAGCAGATCAATGGAAAGCAGTACCAGAAAGTGTGTATTATGAAGAAGAAAAACAACCAGCCATTATTTATGGTGCATACCATCTTCTGAGGCTTTTAGGTATTGATTTAATTACATAATATTGTAAACTAAATTTTAGTTCTTAATCTTAAACAGATATCTAAATCTGTTATGATATTTACCTTGGTATAAGAACAAGCAATTTAAGTACAGCAATTGTACAGTGTCGGTTTAGTCTTTCATATTACAGGAAGCTGAGTGTGCGTGCTTTACTATTTAAAAATATATTAAATAAAAACAGTATGTGTATGATTAAAATTAATCAAAGCAATGTGATTTGAATGACAACATATTACTGAACTGTATTTTGAATTGTTAGTTGATATTATTTTAATTTTTAGAGCAATTGCCAAAGTTATTGACGTTTACTGAAATTGAAGGCGAAAGACTCTCAGTTGTATATTCCTTTAGTAATGAGCTATTAAAGTAAGTACAATGTATGCATATTTTAAATTTAATTTATTAATTGACATACGCATAAAGTTAAATACATACTATAATATGAAAATCATTAATGTTTGTGTGTACATGAGTGTAGTGCGAAGTTAGATACAAACCAAGGTGCAGAGGTTAGCATACGGAGAGTAATTGACTGGAAAGCTTGTATGGTGCGAATTTTGGATGGTTTAGCGTAGTCCCAAATTTAGATTGCATATGACCATATTGCAAAAGAGATTTGTGCATAATAAGTTTGGTGTAAATTGGAAGTTTTGATTTTAATATTGCACAATGTAGATGTAGTCAGCTATTCATAAAAGTAATTGGTTAGATTTATAAATCTTTGACTTTCTTGGTTTTATTGTAAAATTGTTGTCTGTTTATCGTGCAAATGAGGAGAAATATTAGTGTTCGCGTTTGTTTTAAAAAGAGGTATAATTAGTATGCCTCAGCACTATAGTTTATATATGAACATTTTTTTTTAGGGGGAGGATTTGAAAAAAAAAATTTAGTTTTACTATAATTATTTTTAAAAAATTCAAAGTAGAATTTTAGAAAATTTTTGGTGATTGAAACTTTTGTTAAAGTATGGTCTTTTATTTTTTAAGGTTTGTTGAAGTTTTTGCAAATGTGAATAATACCAATTATGATTATTCAGTTATTAGTCAGGGTTTTCTTTTCTATTAGTTAATATCATGCAATATAATTATATTATTATTATGAGGTAGTTTCAATCAATTAATAATGGTAATTTATGTTGATAAACAAAATTATTATAATTGAAAAGAAAATTATTCAAATTTTCAAAAAACTTAGAAAAAAAAAGACCATAACAAAACTTTCAACCACCAACATTTTTCTAAAATTTTATTTTACATAATGGCTATTTTGAATTTTTTAAAAAAAAATTATAGTAAAATTTAAAATTTTTTATCTCAAGTTCACTTCCGCCTAAATAAAAATATTCATGCGTAAACTGTAGTGCTTAGGCATACTAATTATTTAAAACAATGTATCTTAAAAATATTGAATAGAACAAAAATTATTGCACTTATTGAATCCTCATGGACACTCAGTATAAATGTATTATAAACAAATTTAAATACCTATATTTTGCCAAGATCTTATTATTTTGTCTATTAAGAGAGAGAGATGTCTGTTACACAGAGGCATCTGATAGTACAAGTTTCACTGTAAAATAAAAATTTTGTAGAAACAATTTAACAGGAGTATTATATAAGTTATTTACTACAACTTTATAATACTCCAGGTTAAATTTTTTCTTGTATATTTTGTTTTTTTTTGTTTTTCCTATATTCATTTTAAATATTAAATAACTTGAAATATTTTAATTAATTAATTTAATCTTTGACTCTATTTAAATCATAAATATTAAAAAAAAATCTATGCCAGGTTTGTAAATATGAAACCAGAATTTTCGTATAGAAATACATGTTTATTGTATGAAAAAGATAACAAATATTTTATACTGTAATGCCCATTGCTTGCTATACATTTTTTTCTCCAAAAAAACTTGCTGTTTGGGGCAAACTTTTCATTAAGTCATTTTTGTACAATTTTGTAAGATGAAGCGCTGCTCAGCAAGTGTGTGTCCCATCGATAAAAATAAATAGTAATCGGATGAAGCTAAGTCTAATGAATAAGCCACATGCAAAATTATTTCCCCATTTAACACAAAATCGTTTCTTTGACCAGGTTTGCTGTGTGATTGTGCATTATCTATCATAAAGCAAAATTACTTTATGTTGCCTTTTTTTTGTTATTCTGGTCATTTTCCATGCAAATCTTGATTCAAATCGATCATTTGTTGTCAGTAGAGTTTAGTATTAACGTTTCCGCCAGGTTTTAATAGCTTATAATAGATCACCCCCTTCTGATCCCACCAAACAGAACATTGTCTTCTATCCATATCCTAACCTTGACTTTCAAGAGCATTCTCACCGTAGTTTCGATAAGCATTCACTGTGATTCTGCAGCTGTTTTTTTCAAATGGTCTGTTTTTCAAACAGAAAATCAATTCTTTCTGCAAATTTTTATTTTTCGGGCTCAAAATTTAACATGTCCAATGCTTTTATAAACTTTGCAGTTGTATTAAACTTAATATTTTTGCCAGATCTCAACAAGGAAATAACGCCATTTATGCGGTTTGAAAATAACAATATTGATAACTAGAGCTATTTATTGGCCGATTCCAGTTTTATATTTACCTAATATTTCTACAAAATATGAATGTTAATCAAATTATAATACCGTATTGCTATTAAGTTTTTCTCTCACAACTCAGGGCAGGGATGGCAAATTTATTGACAATTAAATTATTAGTTATTTAATTATTAATTATGAACAAATTCCTATAAGAACTTAATAACTATTTATTATTCACTACTATTAATTATGATTATTGTACTTGAAATTGAAATCAAGATAAAAAATACATTTAATACAATTTTGAAGTATTGAACAAGTTTGCTTATTTAATATTCTTAATGTTATCATAAGTAAAAATATGCTTTCATATTAATTACTGAGAACCAGTTGCATAATTTGGTAATGTTTGTGGGGATGAAATTTTTTTACATTTTACCTATTACACCCCCCCCCCAAAAAAAAAAGAATAAAACGAAAAATAAAACTATTATAATTATTATTCTTATACTATTATTTACACTATTAAAATTTCACAATAGAACACATTCAGTCAACCAAAGGTTGACCTAACTGAAGATGGACTACCCGCTTTCACCTATTTGTTTTTATTGAATTCTGACATGACCAAAACCAAAAATGAATATGAGTAAAATAATAATAATACAAATTGGCACAGGCAATGTTGGGCGCGGGACAGTTAGTATTAATATATTATTCTTTTCACTAATATCCCATTAATAATTTAAGGCTGCTGTTTGAAGTGCAAAATATATTAAAAGTGTATGTAGACCACATACCAATTTAGAAACGTACAGTTAGACCACAAATCGAAGTTTGACTATAAAATATGTATAAAAGATATAGGTATATAAAATATTTTATAAATAAATACGAAAAAGAGACTTAAGTCTAGAGCTTTAAATGATAATGGTTTTTAAATCGAAACTAGTTTTAAAAACAAACAGCCTATTAAAATACTCTTGGCTAAATTTTTTACTCATATTTTTTATTTTATAAACATAAATATATAAAATGTAATTATATATATATATATATATCATATTATACATTCAATTGTATTATTCTAGTTTGAGACTTAACCACTACAGCAATGTTTGTTTTTATTTTTAGTTACCTTTCAACCCAAACTCAATTATTTGGGATGGAGAAGTATTTGAACGCTGAAAGAGCAGAATAAATGCATTAAGAGTTCTGCAACACAAAATTACATAAAGTATTTTTCACTAATAAGATATGTTATGCTTTATATATTTTATTTTATGTTTTTACAAAACACATATATAAGCATAAACATGTACAGACTTATAATTACTATTGAATTTACCACAATATTGTAATTAATTTTTGAAAATATTAAGTTTTTATTAGAAATTTGTTTTTGAAAATTTTAAATAAAGTTTTTGCTTTCCTTTGTAAGTTATAAAAATATCATTTAAAAGTTGATAGTTAATTTTAAGTCTATAGTATCCATTCATAAAAAATGTATAAATAATTGATATATACCATAACTTAATATTTTCAGAAACAATATTGTTAATTTAGTCATCTTTGATAAATTGTTATTGTTTATATAAGGCCCAATTGATTTATTTTATCTACTACTTGTATTATTTTTCCATTAATATACTTTAATTAAGAAAGCATAATAATAATTCAAATAGGATAATGTTAATTTTAAATTTCTTTATTAACAAATAGTTCATGGTTTTAATATTTGTCTTCTTTCGTCCTTCAATCTCGAATAGTCCTCCTGGACTTTTTCCATTTCCGTTTTTATAGTAGTTGCTTCAACCGTGGACTCTAGACATTTGCAAAATCTATCTTGAGCTGCGCGTATACTACCCGGTACAAGCACCCCAAAACGTTTGATAGGATCATCTCCATCTTTGTTTTGCACCAAACGACTTGTATTGTTCTTTTCGTCAAGAACAACTTTTGAACGAGCAATGTACGGACCGGATGTGGGAAGTTGTAAGCCTGATACGCTACGATTGCCCATTACGTACCTACTTTTAGCCAGGTGCACACACCCATCGCGTAAACAATGTTCCAGTCGACCGATACTCAAACAATAGTCATTCATCAGTTGTACAATTTGTAAACAAATTTCATCTAATTCATCGTCAATCTGAATTAACGTTCTTTCGTGTCCCATTCCGATAAATTTCGTTCAAATAGCACTATAAATTGACTAACACTATAGTTAATACTAAATATTTACGTATTTATATAAACGGATCTAAAATAACAGTATTGTTCCTGGTATTGTATTCCTGGTTATCAGCAATCGTTAAAGAATTGAGCACGAAAATATAAGTACACTGTAATAATCATGGATAATATAATATAGTTCTTATCTATGGTGGTAGCTTATCACAAAAGCACAACACGGCTACCACGGGAGCGTGTGTTAATCTGGGAAAAAACTAACAAGTAGAAAATTGCAGGAACATAATACACCAGGAATTATTTTTCTTAGAAATTAATATTAATATAGGAACCAAAAAATTAATTAAAAATTGATAAAGTTTTTTACAGGGAAAAAAGAATACGTAGACCATAGACATATAAACTATTTATTTTTTTTATAGTTTATGTCTATGACAAGAACGATAAAAATTATTAAATTATCAGTTTCTTATCATTCGTTTCATATTGTGAACTCGTGAATAATACAAAATATAGGTGCCGTTTTTTCGGGTGTAACAAGTTTGTCCCACAAAATACTTGTTCCGTCGGACTTATGTTCCGCAAAAATGTCTTCCAATGGACATTTGTTCTATGAATACTTCGTTCCACGAGTAAAACGTCGAAGTGTTTTTTGGAACAAATGGTCATTGGAACAAATAATATTTCGGAATAAATGGCCAAAGGAACGAACGATTTTGGAATAAATGTTCACTAACCACAAAATATTTGTTATACAATATATTTGTACCACAAACCATTTGATCCAACAGACCTATATGCAGCAAATATTTCTTCCAATGTACTTTTATTCCAAATATAATATTTAAAACGTGGAAAAAGTGTTTAGTATTTATTCCACAATATATTTTCTCCATAACCCATATGCCTAATAACTGACAATCAACCAGGTTTTCCTCTTTCAATTTAAGCGTCATAAACGGCTGGTCTCCCGAACAAAAAAAATTATTTCCAACTGCATATCTCAAAGACACTGCTTCAATATTATTAGATAATTTCGAACGAAAATACCCGATTCTACATGGGACCAAATGGATAATGCTTTTAGACTTGAATTTGAACCCATTGCATACAAATATATGGTCAGAACCATTTTCGAAAAAGCGAAACGATTACCTAATGAGTCTGTAGCGTCGTATACAAACGATGTCGAAAAATAATTATGCACCGTATCGATCAAAATACGTCACAATCCGAACTGTATAGGATATTCAATTATGAAAGGTCTAAAACCACACATTGTTAGACATACGGGCATTTCGAACAACGACACATTACACAATTTAAAAGCGAACATAAGAAAATACGTATCGATTGAATTTATAATAAATGGTACAAATTGTCATTCTCCCGATAATATTGATGCCCAAATAATTAAAGGCCACGTTAATATAATGGATGAGAATAAAAAAAAAAAACAACGCAATTAGCTTCGCGAATTTCGAACTTAGAAAAAATTATAAAAAATGTGAACGTTAACAACTACAATCGTCGTGAAAATATTCAAACAGACCGAATAATTTCCAGCCTAACGGCAATAGTAATAACAATAATTTCCAATACACGGACTGAAGAAATCGTAACAATTTCAATCGCCCATTTGATAACTATCATAATAGCCGTGCTCAACAGCGTAACGTTTACGACAACCGGTTCGATATCAGTAGTGGTCCGCCGCCAATGAATAGGAAAAATTTCAATAACAGGCCTGATAATTTCCGACAAAATTACAATAACAATCCGAGCAGCCGACAATACGTCGGTTTACACGTAAAATAATAGGCCGCGTAAATACTGCCATAAAAATGATCATGTTAGTATAGATTTGATAAGAGAGCCCGGTGCGTCCCGAAATGCATAAAAATCGATATAAAGGCGGTAAATAGGTAATAAATATGCAGGAATAGACGATATGAAGTGATTCCGAAGGCGCTTAAAACGATTTAAGTCACTTTGTACATATTTGTCACAGTAATCCGAAAAAGTCGAATTAAAAGTAGAAGGAAATTCGGGGGAATTCGTTTTCTTTCATCAAAATAAAGATGGAAAAGTGTGTCGGCCTAGTACATTTCGCCCCGGAACACACTCTTTAACGGCCCGATTTCTCGGATAGAAATAGTAGGAAGTAACACGATACCATGTGTAGTCTTGTGTAGTGTTGAACGACCACACAAATTAATATTAATCACTCTCGTGGCAAAAAAGATTTTAAAAACAAGATTGAAATAATTCGGCAAAAGGTTTCCTTCCGATATATTAAATCCAGTGAGCCAAAGACACGAATTGACGAAAATGATTTTATTTTCAAATCAATGAAATTGTAATCGTTACATAATACTATGATTTGTATGTAAAAATAAGCGCAGCATATTACAAACCATGCTATTATGTTTTGTATTTTGTATTTTTTTTTGAAAATAATATTCAAACTCCGCATTTCGGATTTTCGGCCATTTCCCAAACGTTAATTTAACAATTAGTTATTACTGTTATCAACTAACAAAATCCTTATCGCTATTGATGTTTTGTACACATCGCCCTGTTGGCGTACGACTACCTCTTGCATCACTCATATTACAAATTCGACTTTCTAGTTGTCTTATACCTGTGATTTTAACTAATACCTACATTTCTTATATTTTCCCGTTTTTCATAGGTTTTTTTTTTCGGTTTTTCAAAGTTAATGAGAAAACGACCTCTCTAAAGTACCACCCTAGTTAAATTTTCTTTTATAAACATTGTTACCATTATAAATTTTCACAAGATCTCTGGTAGATGAGTTGTTCACAGAAAGAAAAAAAAAACAAAATTAACATCAATGTAAAACTAATACATTCGTCGTTCCGCTCAGAATCCGAAAATCACATCATAGTAGAACCAATAGATCCTTCGCGACACTCCAAATCTAAGCAGTTTAGCCATGATATTAGATATGATATCCATACGACACACTAAAGGTCTAAATGTTAAACTCGATTTAAGTAGTCATGTTTATAATATAGGTACAATTTTATACAATTCCCTTATGGGGGGGGGAGGACACCGGCTGCTTTCCGTGATCAACAATTAATTTTGTAATTATTCGTATAAACGCCATTTCAAATTAGTTATATCGAAACTGTTCGTTAAACTATGCTTCGTAGTACATATATAGGTATAGCTCGACTTAATTATAAAATTGTATCCTTTTTTTTTTAAATTTTTTTCTGTTTATTATATCATTAATAAATAAATATGAAATTGTTTATTGACTACATAAAAAATGTATTTCCTGGACAACGTAAAATTGAATAACTTTGACCGTAATTTATAATACACCGGCTGTTATAATTTTATAACACAGTAGAAATTCGATTGACAGTCACTCTCTGTTATCCGTCATAGTTACCTGTCATCTACGGAACCTGTCTGTATCGTTATCTGTTATCCGTCATCCGTCAACGTTGTTCTTGTTAAAAAAAATTATTGTATCCATTGATATCAATGATCTTTTTTTTCCCCACTAAATCACACCCGTACTGTTATCTATATGGTTTTATATAATTAAAAAAAAAAAATAAATTACATATTGTAAACATTTGAAATGCTCGATTTCCTCAGAGTTTCTTGAACAGCTAATGTTCCATTGTCTTGCGGTAACTTAATTTGTCACGAGGAGTGGTGAATTTTAAAAGGTATTTAAGGCATGCATATGATTTTTTGTTATCGTATACCCTGTTAATGTGATATTTTAATGTTTTTTTTTTTTATATTTAAATGTTAAACCGCATAAATGGCATTTTTCTCTGTCTGCGTGGAACGCTTGGTTATGTTCTGTTTGGCATAATTTGTGTTTAAATAGTTTATTGCATTTCTTTCAGTGATCAAAATTTGGAAAACCAATGTTGGTGTAATTGTGCCGTATTAGCGATATGCGTTTAAATATTTTCGGACAAAAGTCCCCGATTGGTGGGTCGCCATGTTCCTTTTATACATTCGACTTTCGATAGTTCAAACCTTTGATAATTCGAAACTTTCGGTTATTCGAAGGAAATGCACGTTCTCTTGACAATCTCGCGGTAATTCGAATAGAAACAATTTATTTAAGTACACTCGGTTATTTGAAATTAAATTTTAGGAAAACTGGCCATTAACACGTGACAGTTCAAAGTTTCACCCGTTCAACCCTCGGCAATTCGAACTATACTCACCAAGTTTAGAAATGTATTTCTTATAATTTTTTCGTTATTTTATTATTATTTTCGATAACTATAGAATTCTTATCGTAAGCATTTTACTTTTTAATCGTATTTTAACTCTTCGAAAGTCGACTGTTGTTTTATTTAAGTCCCGCCAACTTCAAATTATTAAGAGTCGACTGTACCATGGTTCATATAAAAACGCAATACAGCACAATTTACAATGCTCGGGACGATCATACCGTGTATCGTCCTTATCACTGTCCTTATCCGTGGTATATTCGTCGTTGTTATCGGATCCGGAATCAGAAGTGGTTCCGTTAGTTTCTTCAGTTTGTATAATCATATTATCTTCGTCTCCGTCCTTTATTGTACTTGGTGTAGTAGTACTAGTAGTAGTAAAAGGTGCTTGGTTGGTTTTTCCTACAGTTTTGTTAAGCTTACATGTATCGCGGAGACAATTTTCATTGTACGTTCCAAAAAAAAATGTTGCCCATAATAAATATTCAAATCATCGCCTTTTAATATACCACGCACAATTTGAGCCGACATAAGTGATTTTGACTGTGATACGTACCACTACAAGCTAGCGTTACAACCATGATTCAGATACGGTGCTGGCCCCAAAAGTAATTTATCTATTTTTCGTATACTGCTGTAAATTGTCGAAAAGTGATTTTTCCAGCTTTTTTTTTTGTTTCGGTATGAAACGGAACACACTGGCCACTTAATTCTTTCAATACAGTTTGTCTCGGTACGAATTGTTTGGCTATAACAGTTACACCGAATCCCTCTTCATTTGGATACCTGCTGCACTGTGTACAATTAATTCTGGAACCTTTGTCTTGTACATATTTCGTTTTAGCGTAGTTTGTTGCCATTCTTTGGTGAGTATTATGTTGTATTTGCCGGTTTCGTGTGTCGTGAATCCGCTTATAGGGTCTAATAGCTGTGAATTCACCGAAGTCGTCTATAAAACACGCGGTTTCAGGTTTTTTTTTAGGTTATTACCGTTCGATGACATATTTTTTTTTCCGATACGTTCGTGATAATTAAGGATTTTTCGCCGATGCGTAAAATTATGGTGTAGGCCGAGCTCCCGTCATTTCGAAAAATGATTTTCGAAACGTTCGCGCGCGTACCTAGTCTAAAAAGAGCCGGCGCCGCCGACGGGCGCCGGCTCCTTGTAGGCGGCGGGAAGTCGCGGCCAACGCGGGCCGCGGCTTTACGTCTACCGGACATTCACGGCTCGGGGGTACGTAATAAAATCGCTCAGAAATCAAGCGTGCGTGCCGGTCCGCGCGAAATGTCCGGTGCCGTTGTAAAGGTACACGGTATATTATTATACCGTTTACACCGGGGGGGGGGGGGGGGGGGAGGGGGGTGGTGGTGACTTGCGGTCGGTAAATAGGCGAAAATAAACGCGATCCGTTATGTTTTAGGACATCCCGTCCCCGACACACCGCGGAAACGACGGACGGACGGACGCCATCACGACTTTTAAACAATC